AGGAAACCAGAGGCACAAAACCTCAAACAGAGCCTTTTCCCCCCCTGCTCTCCCAAGCAGCTCTGCATTTCATTACTGTGGCCAGGCCAGCCCTCGCCCAGCTGGGGAGAAGGAGGGGAGGGGGGGCCCTGCAGGGTTTGCATGTCAGGAGCAGAAATCACAACCAGAAGAGCAGGAGAAGGGAGTTGTTTGTGTTTGTCACCACATCCCGGCACTCGCCTGGCCCTGACCCTGCCTCCGGGACCCATGCTGGCCTGGAATAGCTCTCCTCCATTGCGGTCCCTCCGTGCCAAGGCAGCTCCGGGCTCCTTCCAGCCAGCTTCTTCCCCCGCCAGCCATCCCCTCCCAGTGCCAACCCCTCTCTCTGACCCCCTCCAGCCTCGCAAAGGCGCTTGGATGCTCCTTGGAAGAAGCCCTGGGGTTTTCTGCGAGCCTCGCCAGCGGGCTTCAGCCCTGCCAGCAAACTTTGCCGCCTTCCCTCTCTGCCTGCGCAGCTCCTCCCGGGCTGGGAGCACCCTGTCCAGGCAAACACCAAGCCTGTCCCTGCCCGGGGAGAGCGGCGAGGACAAGCCCCCGCTCCCCTTCAAGCACCCCCCAGCCCGCTGGGGACCGGGGAGGGTGCTCCCTCCGCTCACCCTGAATATATACTGGCTGAGCATGCATCGCCAGCAAGCACAGTACATCGAGACAGATGCAAGCCCCGCAGTGGTGTGAGGGCTGGGGTGGGGGGATCCAGACATGCCTCTACCCACCCTTTTGAGCCATCATTTAAGCAAGAAGTACTGCGCCACAGTACTTCTGCACCCCTCCCTCCCCCCCAGAAACCTTGCCCTGGGGTTTAGCCCTTGGCAAAGCATCCCCCTTCCCCTCCAGGGCTGCTCCGGTCCCCACCACCTCCCCACGGCTCCCCGGGTGGGGAGAGGCCCCAGCAGGCGTGCAGCCCTGCGGCGCTGGCCTGCCTCCCTCTCCTCCCTCCCAGCAGCTCGCCGGATTCCTGAGCGCTGACACAGGATGCTGCAGCAATGAGTGTGCAGCGCCTTCCTCCCCTTCCCCTGCCCCAGGAGAGGAGGGACAGGCGGGTAAAGCCGGGTCGCATCAGGCCAGGAGGGAGCAAAAGCATCCGGAGTGAAATCCGGAGCCTCCTGTGAGCCCCAGCCCCTGGCTGCCCATCATCTCCCAGCCCCGTGGGCTTCCTCCGGCCTCTGGCTGGCACCTGTCCCAGGCCAGACGTACGTCCATCCCTTTAAAGGCCGAGATGATTCACACCATTAACACTCCCTTATTGGCAAGAGCCGGTTTTAAATAATTCCCTCTCTCCAGAAGGTATTCCTGATGCGAACCACAGCTCATTCACCCGGAGCTGCAACCAGCGATAGCTCCTTGCCAATTACAGCAGGAGGAAAGTGAAAGCCTGTCGTTCGCCCTCCTCCACAAGCACCGCCTGGGCAGCCCGGCCACCGCGCTCCCCCCGCTGGCATCTCTCCCACCCTCCAGCTGCACTAAGGGATTTTCCCAGCACCGCTCTCAGGGGATCTACTCTGAGCTGGGGAGGTGGGGAGGCAGCAGCCCGGGCGAGCATCTCCAACAGCTCGTTATTATAGGAAGGTAAGGATCCTGCCATCTTGCCATTAAGTCATACCCTCCTCGACCCCATGAGGTAGTTTCCATAGAAGTCACCCTCTCTTCCAAGTGATGGAACTTTTTATTTTTATCTGCCTTACTTATGCACTTCCCTCCGTCGGCATTGGCCTGGGCAGCGGGTTTGGGTCATTAGCTTCTCCTCGAGCTTATTCCCCCTTTCTTGCTCAGCTCTCCCACCCTGTCACCCTCACCTCTGTGGCAATCTAAAGGCAGCACCATTGAGCAGAAGGAAAAGTCCAGGGATTGAAGCAGCACAACAGAACAGTTGAATTAGGGAAAACAGACCCCATTTAGGTAAAAGTGATTACAGGAATAAAAAAAGACACTGGGGAAGGAAAAAAACCAAAGAGCAGAAAAGTTGATTGCAAAAATAACACAGGATCGTCATTATGGGTCTTTTTCAATTTGAGACTCATTTTCCAGTGGAGGCACAGACCCCTCTATAACGAGCCAAAGCTCACCAGCAGCTATCTTATCTCACTTATTCCCTCCAGCCCCCTCAGCAGCAGCAGCAGCCTGCGGCTCCCCAGGGACACACACATCCCAGGGAGCAAACCCCACACATTATAAAAACACAGCCACAGGAACAAGCGAGGCACATGTTGGCGCAGCAGAGACGGCTCCGGCAGCCAAGGGACCTGGACAGGGTCTTCTGGGGACACGGCACCATGGTTATCAGCTGGTAAGCAAGAACTTGCTCACCCTCAGGTAGCTCTGCGGAGAGGTCACACCAGCCAAAGGGAGCTGCGTTGGCATCTCTGGGTAGTTTTTGCCATGTTTTCAGAGGCCAACAGCAATTAAGGCGTTGCACAACTCCTCTCTGGAAGATAGAATAGGTAATACCACCAGAGTGCTGCTGGTGATCTGTGCCAAAGGGAGGTTGGGTCTTGTATGCACAGGGACACTGAGGTTCCAGCGGTTGGGTGCCCAGAAAACCTTTAGATACGCCAAGATGCTCCTGATCAACTCCGTGACAGCCCAAAGCAGGAGTGTCCCCATCCCATTTTGGCACTGAGGAGCTGACTGCAAGCCCTGGGCAAAACCATCTGCTTCCACAGAGATGCTGTTGGCGGACAAGGAGCAGAACCAAAACCCGCTCCCCCCGGCCATGGGAAGGAAGCTGTGCTTTTACAGGAGCAGGAGGCCCTTTCCATCCCCCAGCCCAGCTTCTGACCCATGAAAGCAACCTGTGCCCTCAGAGCAGGAGGAGAGCGGGGCGAAAAGCCTTTCATAGCCACCCTCCTCCTCGTGCTGCTCTCCTCTTACTGGAGAGGTCCCATCGCGACTGTGTCTCCCATCCAACAGCCACACTGTTCGATTGTAGGGTTCTCCTGGAAAGCACTTGTACAAAGTGAAGCAGGGCCAGGCCCTTCCTGTCACCTCCCAAAGGTCATCAAGCGGAAAGAAATGTCTCACACGCAGTTTCCTTGGTGTTGTCTACGAGAGTAAGACTGTATGTCACCATTAAGTGCAATTATCAAGAAAATTAAGATGGTCAGACTTTTGCCTCTGCTTAAGAATAGGGAGCTAGTAACTTGTACACAAACTAGCAGAGCTCCCTCTAAGCAGCCCCAGACCAAGCAGCTTCTCCCCCATTGCAAGTCCTCCCCTCGTTGCCTTCTTAGTGCTGCGGGAGGAGCAAGCCCAACGCCTCCAGTTCTCACAGAAACAAGGTGTTAGATACCCCAGCCTGCCAGCCCAGTGTCCCCAGTAAGGGCCAGCACTGCCTCCTAATGTAGTGCCTATTCCAGCTATGCCAGAGAAAGCAGAGAGAGGAATGCTTCACACTGGTCATCGCTCACCTCCCACCTGAGCCAGGCCCCTCAGGTTCAGCCAGATATCCCAGGCTGCATTTCACAGCACAAAAACATCTTCCTTGACTCATCAGATACGCAATCCTCAGTTGAAAAGTTCATTAATTAGGAGCAGAGAAGCCTCTAGTGAACCTCCCAGCAAGGAGGAAAAAAAAAATCCCCCACAATTCAGTCTAATTACAAACCCTCAGGGCGCTCCACAGTTGCTGTGAAGCAGAGGCCAAACTTTCCTCCCCTCCCCTAAGAGCAAGAACTTTAACCCAGTTATAGTTCTACTGATAACAACAAAAAAAAAGCAAGCCCTGATATTAATCATTTTAACTACTCTGCAAGTAACAGCAAAGAGGAGGCACTGAAAAATATCCCTGGCAGAGCAGCAGCTGGCCCTGAGCACAGCCTGTGTCCAGGAAGGATCTGCTCACACGCCCCCAGCCTAGACCTTTGAGCAGGCAAAGCCAGAGGCCAGCCCTCAGCCCGACCATGCCACAGGCCTCTACACAGCTTGGGGCTGGACTGTGCGCAGCTGCTCTTCTGGGATTTAGCAACCGCTTTCCACCCACAGACAGAGTGACTCTGCACATTAGGTACTTTCTGAGCAAGACCTCAGATGACACGGCAGCTCCAGCCCTGGGAAAAGGCTGCAGCCAGAGGAGCAACAGCAGCACCTGGAAGATCCTGGGAAGGACTCCAGTTGCCCTGACAGAAGTTCCCTTTCTTCCCCAGCTGCCAGAGGAGCTGGACTCCAACCCAGCCCCAGCCTCTGGCGAGGCAGGGTGGATCCAGCCACAGACATGCAGCAACCACACCCTGGCTGCTGCCTGCCCGGATCCCAGCGGCCCTCCTCCCCAGCCCGAGCCAAGCGGGGACACAAACAGGGACTAGGCTTGTAGAGTTGAAAATATTTAATACGTGTTGTACACGTAGAATTACATTTTATACAAAACAAGATACATCACTGAAGGAGAACACTGTACAAAAATCCCTACGGGAGTCCCAAGCCTTTATACAACAAAGACCGGGGAGTTACCAAGCCTAACAAACAGGCTCAAGGACTTTCCGTCAGAGCATCTGTAAACTTCGTTTCTCTCAATAAACACTTTTAAAAAGCACCATGTAATAGTTCTGACCTAAACCTTTCCAAAATAGAAACTTTATTTAATAAACTTAATACTTTCCAAGCTTAAAATACTACCCGGTGGGAGTGCCCCCGGTGTCGGCGGCAGCCGAGGAGCCTCCCCCGGGCGGTGGCCCGGCCAGGAAGGGGAACTCCGGGAGGGCAGGGCCAGGCCCAGGCCCGCTCCCGGGGCGGGTGCCG